TTTAAAGTAAACGAGAAAAAAGAAAACTTCTTATTGTTGTAATCCGATTGAATCTAATTACTTGCTATTTGTTTTATTGTTCTTGAGACATATCGAATTCAATTTATTTAATTGAGTTTTGATATCGTTTATAGTCGATTGGAGACGATGATTATCAGCTTTTGCTTCGTCAACAGCATTGAAAAGTATCATAAATTGTTGTTGAATTCCAGCAGGATTTTTGTTAAGCATATACTCGAAGCATGCTCGCCGTGTATGCTCTACGATTGGTAGTCGTCTCGATAAAGGCAATTGACATAGTTTACAAGGAATCATTTCGAATTCACATGTTTTTTCATGTTGTTCAAGATCGTAATAAAATGAGATTACTCGACATCCATTCGGGGCATAGGCACAACGAACTCGTAATTTGGTAAGATCAGTAATGATATGGCTAGGTACTGGTGCTTCTTCAAAATTTTCACAGTTGTTTGTCCCATGCTGTGTACGCTGGGCACCAAAAAATGTCGTGATTTTCTTCAAAATACTAGTTGTGGGCTGGCATTGTTTGCAAAACATAGCTCCACATTTTCCACAAGAAACTGGTCTCCAAAGCACATTGCGGCATTTTGAACAGAGTACGGTATTGGGCAAAGCTGAGTATGATTCCTTATCGAGAATAATTCGATTCCTATCAAGTATCTCGACTTCGACCGTCGATTGAATGTAAGTTCGTTGTACTGTATCCTAATCGAGAAAGAATTGAACAGCGATCGGACAATATTATATAAGCACTTACATCTTTATCATCCACGATGATACCACGCGACACTAACAATGTAGTTTGATCATCTTAATTGAAAAAAAAGACAGATCTTGATTTTGTTGGTTTTGTAAAACTATTAGATGGATAATACTTTTGATTACTTGTAGAAAATATTTGACTGAGTTCAACTGCAAATTATGATAAATCAAGTTCATTCAAAAACGTTTCGACTTTCACAAAAATAAGATCTTACTTTCAGAAAACAAGCTAATAAAACTTTTCATTTGTCTGACTCAATGAGTAATTTCATTCAGAAAAATATTCTAGTTGATAATCATATGAAGAAATATCCTAAACATTACTGTATTTGATCACACCGAGCACATCAGGTGGTACGAATACAAGTTATTTTTAGGGATTTATTTATCACGATATGATCTTGAACAATTTCTCTCAACTGTTTGCGAAATTTCAATTGCTTCTAAATTGGCCCCATAAAAATTTTTCATTAACTTTTCACATTTCCTGTTGTACCGAAGACGAGTTTATAAAAAACCAAACTGAAAATAAAAGTCAATAAATGTAATCTTCATAAGTTTAAAATGGATCTATTTGTTCCAATTCCACGACATAGATCTAGTTCTTTGCCGATAAAGGAATAGCAAAAAAAAGTTCTATTAGATTTATGTGCCTTTTTGAAACAATTGGAATACCACTCACACAAGTTTCATAATCGTGTTGAAACGGATCACGAAAACTTTTTCCTCTTTATCTAGCAAATATTCCTGTTGAAAAAAAATTAATTCTTCAGATGCCTTTCAATAGCATGGAATCGTCTTGATCGAATTGGAAAGTCCTGAATTTATAGATGAGAACTGTATGTTCGTGTCTAAACGAAATTGTTTTCGTATTTTCTAATATCAGTAAGGCGAATATATTCTCAAAATCTTATGTTACAACTAACTGAATATTGATTAATATTGATTCGAGTATCTTTTCCACGATTTAAACTGAATATTTTTAGATTAAAACAATAATTTTTCGCATTAAGTGGATCAATGAATATGTAGAACGCATGCGTTTAACAAAGTTTTTACAATCTATATTAATATCATTCGATTTGCTGTATCTTACTTTGTTCTTGTCGAATTTCTTCTTTCAGTTGTCGAATCTCATATTGTGATTCTTGTCGAAGTTGTCGAAGTTGTTCTCGAAGACAGATGACATCAGAATGATGTTTAAAAACATCATTTTGTTTATAAACTATTTTGCAATCTGTACATGTCGTTACAGTCAACGGACATTGTAATTGATGTTCAGAAAAATCTTTTTTCAATATTTCTGATAGACAACCAGTACATTTTATAAGTTGATATCCACACATTGTCTCATGCTTTTCTAGTGCTTCATATGGAATCACCTGGAATGAATAATTGATTAAAGATTTTTTTTTTCTGATAAGACAAAAGACAAGCACTCAACTAACCTCATTACAACCATTCGGTTGATAAATACAAATGATTTGTAATTGTGCTAATCGTTTGGCAATGAATTTAGAACATGATCGTTCAATGAACTTGTCACATCGCATCGGACATTGATTTGAATTTTTATTTAACCATTGTCTGATGCACATAGAACAGAAATGAGTTTCACACTGTTGACAAGCGACTGGTTTCCATAAAATATTTTCACATATTGTTGAACAAACAAGATCATTTAAATCGGTTGTGGTTGAGCATTGAACACGCTCAGTCGCAAGTCCAATATCATTTGTTGATGTCATCTAAAGAACAATGAACAATTCGATATATTCATATATTTGTACTACTATCAACCTTATATATTGATTTTTTTCCTAAATTTCGCTTTTCCTTTTATTGAATCGCAATCCAATTCGGAAATCGCGGTCAGAAAACTGTTTATCTTTGTCTCAAGACGTTTTTCTTTGCATTAACCTAAAAGATCATTCCAAACTACGTAACGCTAATAAAAGAAAATTTATTATAGGGTTCGAATCTTCACTATTGTCAAGAAGTATAATTAATACTTTAAACTGTACAATTAACAAAAATTTAATCTATTTATAGTCATAAAAATAACTGTATGATGGAATTTGATTCGTACCGTATCATTACAAGATAGATTCGTCATGGATTATAGTAAAGTCAATGATATTCTATACACGGCCTAGTAAACTTACATATGGATTTCATTCACTTCAACGTCACTAATAATAAAATAATTTCAAAAAACGAAAAAAAAGAGAAACTCGTTGATTTCGATAGAAAATCAATAATAAAGGCATGTCGTCACGATGGTTAATAAAAAAATGAAATATATGCTATTACTAATAGTGTGTATCTAACGCATACGAAACAAACATCACCTTCGAATGATTCATAGTAAATTGATGTCAATCACACGAGCATACAAAACATGCGCTAAGCAAAATTTACGCATTTTTAAAATACAAAAGAGTATCCTTTTATGCACACAGAACAGACATTTTAATAGGGAAAGAAAGAAAAAACAACGAATCGATGTCTCTACAAGCAGTTGTGTATCGCAATTCTGTCCAAACGTATTAGTACAAAGAACGGCGTTGTCAAGTGGAACAGAATTGGTAAAGAATAGTCGGTGACAGTAGTATAATCGAACGACCTCTGGATGTTTTTTTGTTTCATGAAAACATTACTATTGATACGTTTTGAAGTATATATCAAAACAAGTGAATTACAGCTCTTTCTTGAACCACTAACAACAGCAGATGTGTTAACATTGTGCATATATAACACAGTCAGGCAAACAATAAAAAAAAAACTTATGAAAAACGAATCGGAGTTTTAACAAAAATAAAAACGTAAAAATGTGCGCCTTTTACGAGTCTTTTTTTTAAATTATTCGTTTAACAGAGTACTGCGAGTGAAAGAAAAAAGGACACTATCATGCAAAGAATATATGATTGAATCGACGATCCAGTGAAACGAATGAGAAAGTTAACATAAATCATACAGAGAAGAACAAAATAGAATTGAAGAGAAAAAAACCAAAAAAAAAAATAATATACATTTCAACATGTATATAAACCATTCGATCATTAAAATAAACTTTAACGAACTTGAAATATTTTATGAGAATGATGATGTGATAATATCAAAATTATTCAGAACTAGAGTACTCGATACACTGAATTATTCTAAACCGATAACAATTCGTAACATCTTAAAAGACACTGTCAGCTGAGTGAGACCGGATAAATAAGACCTATGTCTCCATCGAACAAATTCAAATTTTCATTTGCTTTTCTGATAAAAAAAAATGTCAGTAATTCACGGCATTTCTTTAGGAATACCATACAGGATGTGGGTGTCAATGGTGACACCTTCATAGACACACGCAAAGTCGATAAACACATCCATACTTATACCCTGGTTGTTGTGATTTTGCAATTAATAGTAAGAATCGGATTTTGATATAAATTTTTAGATTGATGTGATTCAGATTGGTTTTGTAATGGTGGCGCTAGTGAGTTGATCAGTTGTATATTAGTAGACATTCGTGAAGGAATCATTTTCTGTTGTGGAATTCAAGATTTCTGTTCTGATCATGAACATTGTTGTGATTCATGCGTGCTCAAGTAGTAGATTTACCATTTCTTAACAGAACTTTAGGGATTTTGATTTTGGACGTTTATACGATTATTTGTATGATAATTTGAGTCAGAAGTCATTATTACCGACTAGTCATTTCAAAATTGTTAATCAATGTGTTTTTTCTTTGGATCACACACCGAGTGTGTGATTATATGTAAAGAAGTGCATATATGTGTGTGAAGAGAAGAGAAAAGATAGCAATACATCTTGTCTGTAGTGTGTGAGCAGAACGAATGAATGATTGACTACTATATTTATTTTTTTTCTCTTCATATATTAATTGCAGGTAACGTTCGTTACTCGCAAAACAAGAAAATAGCGTTGTCCAAGGACTCTTCTATTTGACTGCTTGCTTATTTTTTCGTTAAGGTGAAAGGAAATTAATTTATGCGTCAGCGATCACTGCAGTAAAAGAGAGATACAAACATGCGCTCTTTGCATTTTTATTTGTTTTTTTTTGCTTTCGCTTGTATTCACAGCAAGTGCATTTATCCATTTTCTTCGACTTCAATTGTTCTTGGACATCAGTTAACGGTAACTATCACTAAACTCAACTTCCCGCATATTTTAGAAGACTACTATGTTGGAAAACTTCCTGTATTAGAAGAATCATCTATATTAACAGACCTTCTGAACGATGTCGTTCCATAGCAATTTTGTGTTTTCCTCAGTAAAACTTGTCATAAGTTTGACGGATCGTAATGGAAGATTCGGAGCCTTTTATTATGCAAATGGTTTATTTGTAGTTAGTCTACACTATTCAAATGATATCTTTTCACATCGAAGCTCATTTTCCTAGTGAAAAGTATGATTTTGAATTCATTGTATTTTTGTTCTTTCCAACTGACAAGGAAATTAGCAGCTTAGAAACGAGCCAGAAGCATCGAAGTTAACACTTGTTTTCTGAAATTGTCTTGCACAATCTAGCTTCACGATTTGAAGCTTGTATTCTACATTTTGTACACATGTGTGCTGCACAAACTCTTCACTCGACTCTTATTTGGAGTTTAAGTTCGTACTGTATAATAGACTAGAACTCTGTCTCCAGTATTTTTGTCATAGACATAATATAATTCTCTGCAAATGTGTGATGGAACAAAATGAAGAGATTTTTTTCTCTTATGAATTTTTAACAAAAGTAGAGACAGTAAATGAGAATTGTTTAGGTGCTCAAGAACAACATTCGATACATTTACATTTGATATAATTCTTTCGGATAGCTTTTTGATCGGTAATGGATTCGAAATATGTGACATATATAAGAAATTGGAGCCAGAGGCGCCATCTCAGATGCTATTTGTACTAAGTATAAACGAATCAGGCAATGACATCTCGTTTAAGACAAGTGCCGAACTCTAGTCAGAAAGACCACCAAACGAAACGCCAGGAAATTTATGCAGTCAGACTGTTCATAATCAAATATTTTCTAAGATTGGAAGTTATATGCTCACCCTATCGATACCTGTTCCATGATCAAAACAATCTTGCTAATGGCAGCAAATATTTTCGATAGCCAGAAGTAGAACGTTGAAAAGGATTTCTCTTTAAACTCCTGTTAAATGACTATTCTTTCCTAACTCGTTATTCAGATGATAGAAGCGCAACCGGTCGATGTGGGTGGAAATGTAAATGTGTTGGTGTATTTTACGTATAGGTATAGGTGTGACTATAGCGTCTGGATATGGATGTGATGTATGTGATGGTTTCAGTCTTCGCTTGACTCACAGCCATACCCATACCACACACTTCTTTGTAGGCTCTACAAAGATTGAAAATTTCGAGTCAAACGATTATCTCTTTTCTGATTAAATAATATTAATCTGTGAACAATCCCCAATTCCTTATTCTTGATTTCTAGATAGTTAGTTTTAAAAAGTCCATGTTGATATTTTGATGATTTCGAGTTGGTATAAAATTCCAAATATAGAGTTTGAGAGAGCGAAGTCTGCTCTATAAAATCCATTAAATCACTAAACCGTGGAATATATCATAAGAGACTTTCTAAGAGCTGAGTTTCGCGCACTACCATTTGCCATAGACTAATACTATGGTCTGGGAAGAATTTATACTAGATTAATGAAAATTAAAAAGTGACATATAAGCAAATGTGTCAGATTTTGGGGAATGAGAATACATAATTGAAATTAAGTCTCGCCCATTCAATATCGAGAGAGAGTGAAGATCATCAAATTTAGTAAATTTTCCGTTTTTTTTCCTTTATGGATTATGACAATTTCCTATTTAATTTGTACGCTCTGCATCTACTTGACGGAACGATATTTTAAGCTAATTTTTTTTTACTGCAGATACAACTTATCGAGCTTTACAAGATAGGATCACTTTCGATCAATTTAAGGGACTTACGTATTTTCGTGGTAGAAACCTCGTAGAATAGGTCATAAAAGGCAGCGAAAAGATAAGACAAATCTCATAAATTTTTTCATTTTATGGACCAACTCTTCTTTCATCTGTGCGACTAGCAATGGGTGGTATTCAAAGCAGTGTATTGGGTCTACTAGTAATCAACGGACCGGATGACGTTCACGTAATAAAATACGAACACGGTGCTCCCAATCAATTGTCCAATCGTTTTGGATGGTCTAGTCACAATTGCTACTGCAAGCGACCCAAGACAGGCCTTGTTCTTTATCCATCGAGCACGCAGCACAAGAATACAGTTCTTCTGGTTTGCGAGGACTGTTACCACTACCAACCTGGAAGAGGCTCACATCATCAACAATTGCTCGATTGGTATTACGGAATCTATGGAAAATCAAAACAATTTCAATGGGTTTCAGGATTCTCTCAGAAAGCTGATGGCAGTTTAGAATTTAATAGTAAATCGTGCAATCTCGTTGGACCTTATGCAGCCGGTAATATCACTTGTTTGGAGTTTGAGCAGAACATCATTCGGATAGTCGTAAATGGAAAATTGGCAAATTATGAAGTGTGACATAATGTTTCGTTACTTGTACTTAATTGCAAAATCAAGAGTCGTATTTTTTTTTCTGATATTTTTTCACTCAACTCTTTGGTATGGATTCGGATGACTGTTTGATATCAGTACATGCCACTTCGCCTCTTACTATTTGTTCTACATAATTCGTTCTCAATGCATTTTATCCCAATTACATTTCATCCCTTTGCATTTTGTCCCTCTGACAATTCGTCCCAATAGTATTTCGTTCTCTTAAATTTCATTTCAAATTATGATTATTCATTTTCATTTGACATATATCCTGAAAAATATATCATTAAATTCTCTCAAGCACTTTTTAGCACCTCAATTGTATCCATTTCCTTAAACTATTGTGCGAAATCGTTCTAGATGAAAACAACTACCAATCCACATGATCATGTAAAAAAAGGAGAATCATTTTCAATAAATGCATAGAACAAAGAAAGGACATCTATTCATTTTTCATTATTCTTTTTAAATCGCGATGATTGACTAGATACAATAATAAGTATTTACACAATACCTAGATTTGAATCACTATAGAGTTTCATCTTTGTAGAATTATGAGATGAAATATGAATGGGACCAAGTAAAATTGAGACGAACTATAAGGGAAGAAAATGTAACAAGACAAAAAGTAGGAGTCAGACTGTAAGGGTACTTGAGCTCGTATTGATATAAACCCTTATTCAAAATCCCTTACACAAAAAGTCAATAAATAAAAATGAGACTGAGAGTTCAACTATCATCGCCATAGAAGGATTCGAGATATTTGGATTGGAAAAGATCATATAAGGGCAAATTTATGGATATCCAACCATTCTTCTAGGAAAAGTTTTTTGTTTTGAATTTTTTCGAGCTAGATAGATGTATACTCATTTGAAAAAATGTTTGGGAAAAAAATTATAATCTTCAATACAATAATCTCGAAGTTCAAGGTCATTCTATAGAAACATGTATATGTGAATCTGAGACGCTTGTTAATTCGTGAATTTCTGTAATTTTACTAGCGTAATCTCTTTTGAAGAAGTCCAAAATGAATTCAAAATGAACTTCTAGCTTCTTCATATCATAACATATTACAAATGAGTTATTAATTTTGATTGATTTAATTTGCTCAGAGAAGTTAACTGTAATTTCTCGTTGACATCCCGTTTCCTAGCATCTTTCGAATACTTGGAACTTTTTATTTATACTGACAACTTGGATTTTTTTTCTATTCCTATCTGCTTAGCAATACTCGATATGAGGCAGATAATAACACTATTGAAACTTAACCTTGAGAATTATAGTGTAATCATCAAGATTGTAATTCTGCTGGAATATATGTGTTCAGTTCGCGCATAGACATTTATCCGTATAGGGTTATAAGAAGGACGTTTCGTTTTAGAAAATCTTCGTATAAAATAAAAGGTCAATGAAATATTCATGGAAAAGACTTCTTGAAATAGAATGTGTTCAACTCAAAAGAGCGTGATGTTCAATGATAATTGATTGTTCCGTTATCCAAAGGTTGAAACTTATGTATCGCACGAATGCCTTAGGTTGTTCCCGCAAATATAATGGTACAACTTGGTTAAGAAAAAGACTGTATATAATCTGACGACTAAAGTTGTGTATCTCTTGTGTTGAGAACTGTGATCTTGGTCCATTCGACTTTTCTTTGGTTTCGAGAAAGGAAACATGAATAGCAGGATTTGTTTTTCTATAAGCATTGGCAATTTAGAATCGGTTCTTTTTTGGAAAGTCATAAAAATTCTTTGGGTATGAGAGAAATATATTTTTGAGAGCGTGGCGTATCTAACAGTGAATTTTAGAACAATATCAACTCCATCTCCGGCGCTCTTGGCGTGTCCAGTTGCTATAATAGTCTAACAGACATCCAAACCAGGATCCATCTTGTGATAAACCAAATTGATCATAGTGATGTAGTTTTTGAGATGCGTGCTTACACCGTCCATAAAAGAATCTGGCAGTGTTTCATTCGTCGCTTAAAGAAAAACATTATTGCGAACAGTAGTCAGTTTTGCTATACTCTCTTAAATGCGTTAGAAACCGCGATCGTTGGGATAGTAATTTGTCTTTGATCATTCTCTCAAATAAATACTTCAGATAAATAGCTCATTCTTCTATACAAAATAAAGAAAAAGATCAAGCTAAAGCAGAAAGTAAAGGAAAAATTTTATTTTTATGACGAATCACATAGTAAGGAGAGGCTTTTGAGGTTGCAGAACTGTTAATTAGCGATAATGAACAATTATATCATCTTATATCTTTTACTTTTCTTTATACTTTCTCATAAAAGAAATTCGTTCTTTTCTTTGATTTTAACTTTAACTTTGTGTTTATTTTGTAGGAGACAAAGATTTATGTTTTTTTTTCATGAAGATTAGAATGTTTTAATCTTTTCTACTTTTATTTGTTTTTAAACCAAATATTTTATCGATCTTTAGTTTTGACATGTATAGGCTAGATTTATCTTTACTTTCTCAAGATAAATATTGTGTTCATCTTTTTTCATAAATAAATAGTAAATGAACAATCCTAATAATTGTGTGCAGTCCTAGATGGGCTTTCATTTATTATGATTATTCCAACAATAGAAGTTTTTTTTTTTGAGAAAATACTACTCACTTCACGTAATTGATCTTCTTCACTGATAGATAATTCTTCTTAACAATCATACTCAGCAGATCTTCCAGAGAACCATATCGATTGATTGACCACAGTCAAAATGTATTCTCACAGCACTTTCATTGATTTCGATAAAGATCATCGAATCTTCAAGCTGTGATCAATTAAAATTCACTGAATTATGAATCGACTCTAGTGATTATCAATGAAGTTCATTTGATGTGCTCTGAATTTAAATTAACAAACAATGATCGTGCGTCGAAGTAGTCGAAAATATTGAGGCTTACCATGACTTGATCGATCGTCTCTCGTTCAACGATCGAACTCAATTAGTAACGTAACTAAACATATGTATTACTCAATTTCATAAAATGTGTGAAATTTATCCACTGTCCGCAATTTTCGTTTGGAGAACGTGTCGAAATGCGATTTAGATCCAATTTAATGCCCAAAGAATATTTGTATTCTACATATGTAGAAGTTCTCATGACATCTTCTCCTGTGTGAGTTTCATTCATACTGCGATCATTCAAGTAAACTGTTTGCCAGATAATGATGTGAAACAGCTCACTTCTCTTTGATAGGATAACACATGCTTGATAAGCGTTTCATCAGTACATTACGAGAATACTTAATGACTGCTGATCAGACCAATCCTGAAGACAACACTGATATGAAATGCAAAAGTTTTGTTTTACTTCTTTGAAGTATCTACTAATAGTTCTGAATGGAACGAAATTTTCCCACTGGAATCATAGATATACTTGACTGGGAATATACGAATATTTGCTATTTTTGTATAGATTAATGAATGAGACTCATAATGTCAACATATCTGCAATTAGTCTCGTAGAAATTGTTAAACAAATATATGATGGAATCATTCAATTTGCAATGCATAAAAGCATTCTTCGCTTAGCGGATGGAAAAAGATCTATCCCAACTGTTATAGTCTATACTCTGACTACTGTACATATTCGATCGAAGCGAATAATAATATAAGGAAGCTATCCACGACAACATCATTGAAACAATGTTTCGGATAATGCAGGATATTCTCGAACACAGATGCATTCATGGATTATTGAACGAAGCATTTCCTCTTCTGATAGCTAGCATATCGATGAGATTTTAATAAGAAAAAATGTATCTCATCTAATGGTGGAATCAGAAAAGACCGTGACACGGGAAAGTATGGATGTAAGGGCTTAGTCCTTGATCATGTCGGCAGCATTGTTCTAAAAAATGACATTAGCAATAGTTTATCGCAGTGAATCGCTGCAAGACACTGTACCATTAAATTTTTATTAATTATTTTGTGAAAATTAATGCAAAAAACTCTAAGCGAAAAAATCTAGTTCATTTCATCGTCGTTGTCGTATGTGTAAAACTTCTGGTGTCGTTATCAGCTGAAATACATGTTGTTGTTTTTTCTGTTGCCGAAGTTCTTCTGAATGAGCCAGAGTACACCGTTGTTCACATTTTTCACAATAAATCAATGAAGGACAATGAATACAAGAAAACAGAATGCCTTCAACATCGTTGTGACAACTATCGCACCTGAAAATGAATTTTTATCATAGACCTATAGGCTAACTGTATCAAACTATCTACCTGATGCCAGTATGTACGACTCTTTGTTTATTTTCTGGGCGTGGTAAGTCATTTTTAATTTGTTCTAGAGCCCTGTTGGTGATTGGTATATAAGGCTCAGCCTGATCCCAGTTGAAGTTGTTGCCACATCCCGACTGCTGATCACCTCCATGATAATTTCGTCCACATACCATACTACTGCATCCTCCCATGTGTTGTGCGACTCGTTTACAATGTGGACAAAGACGACAATTCTGAGCTTTGAAAGCTTCATCGGCCTTTAATTCGTTATAACGACGTTGCAGTTCTTCGTTTCGCTGAGCATTCGCCGCTAGCTGTCTTTCATGTTCGTCTAATTGAGCACGATAAGTAGCATCTTGCTGTGCTCGAACTCTCCAATAATTGCCACGCTCTTCAAAGTGAAAAAAAAAGTTCAGTCTGAGTTTGATCGGATTATCTTTATTTTACCTGTATTACACCAAACAAACCATCGTTGTGTTATTTGTACTACTTGCTGACAAGTCGTTCGATAGTGATATTGCTGATTACAAATCGAACAAAATTCATTGGTACAAGAGCGACATACGACTCGAAAACGTTCATTTGGGTTTCGCGCTTCCACTACCCATTTACAATCTCGATTCGGACATTTGATGATGCCACGAGCATTGTTGACAAAATTATTGAATGTCTTCTGTATTTGATACTCATGAAATTTTCTTTTTTGGCCTTGAGATACTCGCAATTGATTAATTTCTCCATCCTGTAATTGATAATTACATATACCACACGTAAGTACTTCATTGCTATTCATCTTAGTTGTACATGATCGTTCAAAGCAGCTGTAGCACAGTTTGTGAGTGTCCTGGCAACCGAAAACGAAAATATCATCGTACGGACATGCTTCCAGGCAAACACCACAGTCAAGAGTAGGCACTTCGAATGGGAATTTATCTTCTAGAATCGAAAAAAAGAAATATTCGAAATGATGATCGATAGCGATCAATGTTTCCGATCAATCAAAACGGTGAAAAATGGCTCATTTTTCGACCATTTCTTTCTCGTGATCCTCATGACGTTTCGCTAGCACGTTCTGTTCAGTTTTCGAGAGATCCCAGTGGATTTAAGAGAAAAGTCGTTGAAATTTTCTTAACTGAAAACTGAGCAGAGTGCTATTAATCAAAAGACTTGAAGCACAAAGGAAGCGATCGATTTCGAGAATCGGATCGACTGATCTTCGATATTATAAGAGAACGCACCGAATGCAGCCAATGTATCAACAATTTCATGAGGATCAAGCACTCGTCGATTCTGTCTTTGTTGTTCGATGTAGAAACGAACTTGTACTGGCGTAAAAGGATATTTCAATTTCGGTAGGATGAAATCTAAAAATGCTTGTTGTCGTTGTTGTTCTGAAATATTCCGACAATATCGAGAATGTTCATCCAATTGATAAAATTTATATAGACATTGACAATATTCACATGGAGCCATATTGTCTGGATCGCATGATGTCACATGTTGTTGAAATGCTGCCATTGTTTGAAACTCAACATAGAAAAGGCATCGAGGGCATTGAGGACGTCTTTCTATAGTAACAAGTACCAATAAACATGTAATTATATCCAGATCTAGTGGTAAACATGAGATATCATATTTCGACAGTTGATAATCGCAAATATATGCACAACAACGTGGATCTGTCTTCGATCCTATATGTTCTTTCATCGATCTTTGTACACATGTAATACACAACAGGTGATGAAATTGACATGGCATTACATA